ATGTGAATTTACGAAAATGCCCTTCAAGGCAAAGTGTTGACTCTTGTTGACTGTCATGTCATGTCATGTAAGACTCATTTTCTTGGCTTATTCTCGTAGTACTCGTCGCTACGAATGCGTGGGCGGAAACAGAATGTAATTTGGAGTTATAACGAAGATTTTACAAACCTTTAAGCGTTGAGGATATTTTGGTAAATTGATAATTAATTGAATATGTTGTATTTTGTCGGACCGTTGGATGAGTGCCACATGGGGCCACCCCCACTTTTCTGGAACACTCTCTCTTTCTTTTTCTTCCTTCTTATGTAGCTCTTCTCTCTATTCTGTTAACTCTCTCTCTCTCTCGACTCTTCCTTTCTCCCATTAATCAAACCACCATCATCACCAAATCTTTCGGCTTGTTGAACATCAAAACCACCATTATCTGCATGTCTTCACAGCCATAAACCCAGTTTTAAGTTTTGTTTCATTGAAAGCGAACCCGAAACATGAGTTCAAAGAACAAGGTTTGGGGCCGAGACTGCTAAGCGTGATTCAGATAATTTCCAGCCATATTTTGAACTCTAAATAGTTTTTGGGGACCTTTGCCACTTTCAAGTCATTTTCCGGTCAAATCAAGGTGAGATAGCCATTGTCCAAGGTTGCCCACAAATTTTGGCGAATTTCCCTGTTTTTCCGCAGACAATCATCTTTCAGGCCATCTCCGATGACCATTTGGACTCCTAGCAGGCACCGATAGTTCGTGATGCCTCGATATTTATGCTAGGGAGTTGTAGCGTGGACTCCAGGTGAGTGGGCTTTTGGTTTTCTATATATACGTATCTATGTTTTACATTTTCCCAAAAATTGTTTTAAATAAGCGTATATTTTTAAGTGCCATGTCGTACTTGCATTTCATTTTAGTATATGCATTAGTATGTGTATGCATAGTATTGTATGACGCTGTGGAGGCCAGGTAAGCTTCAGATGAGTACTGTAGGATGATAGTGGTTGCATTGTTAGATGCATTTAGAGCTCATTATACTGCACCCCGGTGTTAGTGCTCCGCCCGAGGCCAAGGCCTAGCCTTCACGTGATCGCTCACCTCCCACACCACACGCTCACCTTGAATCCAAGGCAGGTGTCATCTTGTCGTACAGACCACATTAGGTGTTTCTGACTCGTAGGTGACTTGTGATTTATCGCACAGCCTTCACGTGATCGTAACACTTGAGCGTACTTATTTACGCCCAGCCTGTTGTATAGACCATATTATGTGGTTCTGACTCGTGTGCAAGAACTGGTTTATGAGCTATAGATTCAGCCGTACATGTCACGTTAGGTGACTCCAGCTGACATAACATTTTATATTGATTCACAGCACCTGGCTTACATGTTTATTATTGAGATACTTAACATGGCACATACTTTGATTTTCATTGCTCTCAAGCCTGACTTCTTTATATGTATGTAGTATTATTTTCTGGGAAATTATACGGGTTTTACGGTGAGGGATTACTATTTTTGGAAAGAGAAATGGTTTCAAAAAGCTTTGTTTTTGCCCATTTACGTTTTCTGTTTTTTGCCCCCCAAGTTTTAGCTGCTGAAAATTCGTATTGACGAGGATTCTTGGCAAATCTCAGTATAGGTGGCTACCTCTGAGGGTATGATCCTTACCCACACTACTATACTTTACTTATGCTCTGACGTCTCGTGTGAAATGGGTTCATTCCCGCTCACAGTGCACTTGTCTTTAGGCACTTTTAAGTTTAAATTTATTCACATTTTCCACATCACTATATTTTATGGCTTCGCCACCTTCCTGGTGTCGGCCAACACAGCTCGATTCGGAGTCCTAGTGGACATTCCAGGTCGGGGTGTGTCAAGATACAATTGTGAAAATTCAACCATTAAAAGGACAAAAAACGAAAATTTACAATGATAGATTTATTAACTAATTGTTCACTTAATATAGGGGTGGAATTTTTTCCCGAAAATCCCGAACTGTCTCGAAATTTGATTAAAAAAATGCCCAAGTGGATATTCTCGAAAAATTTGGTACCCGAAACCGAACTGATCCCAAAAGTTTCGGTTTGGGATTCGGGCACAACTTTGAAACGGTTTGGTAATCCCAAACCGAACTGAATATTTAAGATATATATATATATATATATATATATATATATATATTTTTTTTTTTAAAAAACTATTATGATTTTTATTTATTTTTAATTTGTAATTATAAATTATTTGGACCATTGGATTGGGTAAGAATTAAATCCAACCCTCAATTGTAATTAGGTCGTTTTACAAATCCTCAAACTGTTTCTGTCTCTAAGTCTGTCTCGCCCTCACTCTCCAAAAATTTGAATGACGCTCCTCCCCGCTCCTTCGTCCAGTTTGAACCCCATTCCTCCATCGACAACATCCACTTGAACGCTGCTTCTCCATCCAGTTTAACGGCACTCCTTCGAAGACACACACAGAGACACAAGAGGCCCAAAGTACAGGTAAGGTTTCTGATTTTCAATTTTTTCAGTGGGTTTTTGTTCTTTAGGGTTTAGGGTCAAATTGGATGTTTATTTTGTCAAATATGGTTTATGGTTTGAGGACAATGGGTAGGACAGTGGGTTTGGGATTAGGAATCTAGGATGGGTGTGGGTGTTTGGGAGGGTTTTAGGTTGGGTGTGCTCCGGTTTAGGGTGGGTGCAGGACCTGCAGGTCATTGGGAGGGTGGGTGAGTTCTTTTTTTTTTTTTTTTTTTTTTTTAAAAAAAAGGGTGGGCTCACTGTTTAAAGAGCTTAAAATTGCAAAAAGTTCAAAAAGCCCAACATTTTGGGCTTCAAGGTCCAATCCCAAATTTCGGGAATTGCATGTTTTCGGTTTAGTTTTGGGGTACAAAATCTCATCCCAAAATGTTTTGGTTTGGGATTCAGGTTGGGGGTTTCGGTTCGGGATCCCGACCCGAACCAACCCTAACTTAATACATTTATTAATGTGATTAGAAACTTCTCCAATATGATTAGTCCCTTCACACACACCCCTCAAACTGAAAGCTTGGAACATAGATAGAGAAACCTAGATTGTGGAAGAGACTTGATGTGAATATATGGCAATTGATCCTATTCCTAACTGCAGACAAATTGCACAATGAGAAGTTTGGCAAGAACGAGCTCTCTCATATAGTGATAATTTATCTCCACATATTTGGTTGGAAGTGAAAGCAATGGACAAAATCTTAGGCATGATAGGCAACTTGAAACCAAGAGCACCGAATAATTTGCATATCCAAGTGATCTCATTAGCAGTGTCACTGTGCGAGCAAGAGAACGATACTCCACCTCTAGATCATCGAGCTACGGTTTGTTACTTGTTGACATTATAACTAATCATAATATCCTCTATCTGCCTTTGCACTTGTGATTTGCATCATGTCTTCTATCCCGCGTCCGATTGTATTGGATTGATCACAATCACATTTTTATTTTCTTTATTTTTATTATCTGGATAAGTGGCCATGGCTTGCTTGTTTAGTGTGCGTTCTCGGCTGGGCAATGCTGAGGTTGGGGAGCAAGGACATGGGTTCGCGGCCATGGATAAAAAAAATTAGGGTTTCAATTATACAAAGTTGGAGAGGTTAATCCCAAGAACCACATGATTTCATTAAAAATAATCCCACGGTTTTGGGTGTGATTTTCAAATTTTTCAAAATCCTAGAAAATTCAAGAAAGAATTCAAACAAATTCACAGAATTTATAATAAAAATCCATATAAATATGTTAAAATCCATATGAAATTTTAGAGTTTTTTTAAAATCTTTTAAAATTTATCACATAGAAATAGTCAATTAAAATCCTCTGAAATCCAAATTGACTATACTTAACAGGAAACACGACATTCTCCAACCCCGTCCACAAACAGCTGAAGGACTATTTTCCCTCTCGAAGCGGAAAGGCAAAAAAGGGCTGTTTGATGATCTTTCCCTTTTCTCTCCCGGGCGGCCTTTGTCAAGTGGCAACGCCAATGGCGTCTTCTTCTTCGTCAACCTACAACAAGTCGTGGGTGGAGAAGTAGAGGCCCAACCACATCTTAGCCGTTGGTCTCTCTCGCTCACTCACTGCTGCATACAATCCAACGTTTTCAAAATTTCAGAGGTTGAAGTACCACATGAAGGTACGTACTCACAAGAGAATCTGTGTTCGATGGAGTTGGCTCGTACTTCCAGATATGTGGTCTTCTTGCTAAGTTGTCCCTAGTTCCTGAAACCGCGAACGAAACGTAAAAAACCAAACTAGTATTAACTGCAAGTAAAACCTTCGACTTTTCGATGCTGAATATTTTTGTTGTACCGTGGTTTAGATTCAGAGATTTTTTTTTTTTTTTGTCCGGAGAAATGGATTAGGTGCAAGATTTATGGTCTTACGACTGCAACCCATGAGGGTTAGTTATAAAAGTGTTTAACATATTAGTCATTTTTCTCAGAAAAATGCGTGATATGGACAATTGAGTGCATTTTTTGGTTATGGAGTAGATGGAACCCTTGACGTAGTGTAAACCTAACTCATCTCTTTTACTTGCCTCACCAATTACGTGGATGTTGGCTAATGACAATTTTACGCTCCATATGCAGAGGTGTGTTATGAACAGTTGTCTATATGTGCATGAGTGATTGAATCGTCTATGCATGTTGAACCCTTGACGTAGCCTAAACTTAACTCATCTCTTTTACTCGCCTCATCAATTCAGTGGATATTGGCTAATGACAATTCTACGCTCCATATGCGTGAGTGATTGAACCGTCTACGTATGTTGGACTCACAAAATATTGATGGCTGAGTGTCAGTCACAGGCAAAATCCATGTTAGTAAATTGGGCTGGGCCTTAAGAAAAACGTTGGACCCAGAGAAATAAGCGAAAGGCTTGGGCTCAACCCAAGTTACAAAACAGCCCAAACAGTTGAACGACATCGTATTCGGCGGGGGAAACCGCGAGCGCCTTTGGCAGTTGAAGTTAAATTGGGAAGCATTAGGGTTCTAGAGTTTCGACAGGTCGAAGATTTAGCTGAGGAGAGCGAGCAGCGGCGGCAGACTTCAGCATCACAGCAGCAGCGGAGGAGCAGCCATGGTTCTGAAGACGGAACTCTGCCGTTTCAGCGGCGACAAGATTTACCCGGGAAAGGGAATCCGATTCATCCGCTCCGATTCCCAGGTCTTCCTCTTCGCCAATTCCAAATGCAAGAGGTACTTCCACAACCGCCTCAAGCCTTCCAAGCTCACCTGGACCGCCATGTACCGGAAGCAACACAAGAAGGTAGAACCCTAATATCCATTAAACGCTGTGGTTTGGTTTGAATCGTTCATTTGTTTGATTGGTGAATGAGGGTTTTGTTGTAAGCTCACCTGTCTGTGATGTGGTTTTCTGTTTAGGACATTGCTGCTGAATCTGTGAAGAAGAAGCGCCGTTCGACCAAGAAGCCCTATTCGAGGTCCATTGTTGGTGCCACATTGGAAGTTATCCAGAAGCGAAGGACTGAAAAGCCCGAAGTTCGTGACGCTGCCCGTGAGGCGGCTCTTCGGTATGTTTAATTGAATCAATTGATTACGTTGATAAAAATGGATTCTGGGTTTTATGCAACAGGCTCTTTGATTGTTCATTCAAATGCGTTTTTTATTTTTATTTTTATAAATTGAATCAATTGATTAAGATTTTGAAAATTTGGGTTTAGGGTTTTGTTACTTTATGCTAACTATGCGTTGTGAATTCAGTTGATCATAGGGCCGTTTGGACATGATTCTGCAAACTTCTGCTCATAACCACTTCTGTTAGAAGCACTTTTATTAGAAGCATACAAACATTTAAATTAAAATACCAGTGCCTAGAAAAACACTGCATTCAGAATTCAATAGCACTAGAAGTTATTTCTACCCAAATACTGTTAAGAGTTGTTTTTGGCATCTAGAAGCAATTTTAGCCTCACTGAAGCATTCCCAGACACCTCTGAAGTTGGTCAATCATTTGTTTTGTTCAACATGCCCTGTTGCTCCTTAATATTTATGTGTATTTGTTAAAAATTGAACCAATTCATTAGGACGAGAAGTTCAGTTTTGGGTTTTGTTCGACAGGGACCCTGGTTGGTCATTTATATGTGTGTGTGAATTTTGCAGTGAAATTAAGGAGAGGATTAAGAAGACCAAGGATGAGAAGAAGGCGAAGAAGGCTGAATTGGTGTCCAAGTCAAAGGGTCAGTCCAAGGGAAACGTGCCCAAGGCTGCTGGTCCTAAGGCCGCCAAGCTCGGAGGTGGTGGTGGAAAGCGATGAGTTTTCTTCCTCCTCCCATCTTAACCGTTTACTCTACTTCTTGTTTTGCTCTGACATTTCAAGTCTTTTCTGGTTTGCAATTTTTGTATGGATTGATGTTGGCATTTTTGGCCACAACAATTTTGGATCTTCATGATGGGTTTCGATTGCAATAGTGAAAGTTTTATTGTTTATATTTCAATCCTCTTTAACTTTTTATGTGCGAAGCCTCTGAGTATTACTGAACAAGTAAAATGAATTTGGTTTCTTAGAACATTGGAAACTGGTGTAGGTTTGGTCCGGCTTGAGGGAATCCAACTCTTAAACTGCTACTGCTTGTTGATTTGAGGTCGTAAAGAAAACGGCTGCTTTGCCTGTAGTTTGATTATTCTGCCAATTTTTTTATATTTGATATGAGAATATGTGATGGAAGCAAATTAGTTTGATGCATTTAGATGGTTTTTGGGAAGAAGCTTGTAACATTCCACAATCTGCTCTTAGGCCTATGTGATCAAAGAGAGAGACACACAAGGTGTTTCAGCTCCTGCTCCGAATGGTGGAGGTGTGTGTCTTACATGTGTGTGGAATGCTCACCGTTCTAAAAATCTTCTTCTAGTGCCGCCTAGGCCCCACATAGGAGTTAGGCGGCTGGTCATCGTCCTGATTAATCTCTAAATGTTTGAAAATTAAAAAAGAGTGCCTGGACCTACTTAAGCGCCCAAACCGCCTCGGCACCTGCTTATTTCACGATTTTCACTTAGACAAGTAATGAATAATTTTCATTTTGTATTTTATTTTATTTTATTTTTAAATTGTAAGATACTTGTTGAATACTTAGTGAACAAGCATTATATGATTGTTCCTATGTTTTCATTATCTTCTAGTATTTTATAATCTATGTCATTCTATTTTACAGTTTATAAATCTCAATGAAATTATTTATTTTTTGAAGTACAAGCAGACATTTGTTAATACGATATATATAAATTTACCAAAATCCGCTTAGCCCTCCTAGATGCTAGGCCACATCATGCTGCTTGACTAGCGCTTAGCGTTTTTTAGATCCTTAAGAATACTTAATTATTATGGCTTCGCATTTTGTGGTTAAATCCAAAATCCTCCTGCCTTAGGTTTCTGGATTGGTGTGTAATGGATTAGATAGGAATGAAACTGATCCTTCTAATCCTAATATTTTGGGGAGAATTGGAACGGATGAGTTCTTTAGTAATTAATCATTCTTCTACCTTCAAAGTTGAACACAACTTTTTCATTTTCTTGTTGCCACATACCTTGAATATAATAACTTATGATTCCAATCTAGTCATAGATTTTTAACGAGGCCTTAGAGAAAATACTGTTGTTTTGTTAAACATGACAATGTATTATTGAATTGGAACAAATGATCAACGTAGCTGCGTTTGATTAAAACAAATTAAAACCTTTCTTTACGTCTGAAAACCAAATTTTACTGATAATAAAGTGGTTATATCGTCATGGAAATAAGTGCTCTAATTCAAGGATTTAGATTTTTCATTCTTATGGAGTTTTTTTTTAGATAAAGTGGGCTTGAAAGATTAAAGGGAGAAGTTTTGGTTCTGCACATGGAAAGTTCAATCTTTTAATTTAAACCTTCAAACCCCACTTTATTTAAATCTGAAAAAAGAGCACACAGTTGAGTAACTGTGCATTGTTAATTACTTTTCTAGTTGTTCTCTCGTGCGCAGACAATTGTCAAATTTTATAGGTCAAAAAAAGTCCTACAAACCTTAGCTTAGGTGGAAAGAAACCCTAGGCTTAAATTTCCATTTCCATGTAAGCAACAAAAGCTAGGGTTTGTTGCCCACTTTTTATTTTTTATTATTTTATTATTTTTATTTTTATTTTTTATTTTTATTTTTTATTTTATTTCTAGTTTTTTTCCTACACCATTTCTCATATATTTTTCACTATTCCATACTATCTTACCTTAGTTTATTTCAATTCTTCACATTCCATACTATAGCCCTTTGGCTTTAGGTTGGAGATAGTTTTTTGTGACAGGGCTAAAACAAGCCTCTAGGCCTTTGGCCCTCGGTTGGAGATGGAGGCAAATATGGTCATGTGCTGTTCATTAAAATATTAATATCTTGGAAGACCAAAAGGCTAAAATGAGCTATCTGGTCAGCCTTCGGTTGGAGATGGCCTGAGTAATGCTATGATGACCTTCTTTTTAAATCACATTTTATAAATTTCATAATGTAATTGTTAACGGTTAGTTTTTGTTGTTTAAATTATTTAAATTACAGGATCTTACTTTATTGACAAATCATGTGATTTACAAAATATAATTTAAAAATATGATTTTTCTAGCTTATCCATAAAATATATACTATAATCTAATTCCATCAAACAAAGTGAGTGAGGATCCTCGCCGGATCCTCTTTGTGAGGATCCCGGGGATTCTCCAATCATATTTGGTCATCGTATATCGTGCGGTCATTTTTTGTCAAGTACTGTTTATATTCAATTTTAAATAAAAAAATTTACAATGATTTCTAACCACACGATGTACGATGAATGGACGTGAAAGAGGATCCGGCGAGGATCCTCCTGGAACCAAAGTAGGCAGACTTTTCCTAACTCCTCAATTAAATACGTTAGGAAGATCAGATTTTTAAATCAAACTTTGTTAGGAAGATCAGATTTTTAAATCAAACTTTGTAAACCAAATAATATGAAAGTTGATGATTGTATTAAGTGTTGATTAACGTATTTATTTCCTATAGGTGGCACTTTATTTGATTTGCACATTTAGTTTACCTAACATTATTCTAACAATCATACGATCAGCATATGCGTAAGTTTTGCTCATGCATTGTTCTCTGTATCCGTATATGTACGTACCCATTCCTTCACGTTCTCGCATTAAACCCACACCAAAAGCACACCACACCCTTCCTAAAATTTATGCCTACTCCTCAAATCCCTTTTACCACCAAATTGACCACGCCAGAATACCTCAAGTCCCTTACACCACCAACTTGACCACACCCAAATACCTCATGTGCGCCTAGATCTGCTTAGGCATCCGCTTAATCCTCTTAGGTACCCACCTAGGTCACGACTCTTACTTAGACAGAAAATCGATAACTTTCATTTGCATTTTAATTTTTTTAATAAAATGTAAGAGACTTGTACTCAGTGGATGTTCACTCATTATATGGGTCGTGTTTGCCATGTTCGTGTAACACATGTTATCTTAACGGGTTGTGTTGTGTCACACCTATTATCTTAACGGATTCTAAACAGGTCGATCATTTTACCCAACAGGTAAAATGACCCGATCCGTTATGACACGTTAAGAAAAATATTTTTTTCTTCTTCTAAATTTGCACATACCACACTGCCACATAAATTTTACTTCAAAAACTAATTCGAAACGAAAAACCCCAATTTTCACAAACCCTAGAAATGAAAAACCCCAAATTGAAGAAACGAAACCAATCTTAACTTGAAAACTAATTTGAAGCAAAACCCTATATTTTGGAAGTAATTCGAAAGAATCAACAATTACCTCGATTAAGGCTCAAGATTTGCTCGATCCAGAGAAAGAATCGGAGACAAAAGTAGCAGATCGACTAGTGGTAGGTTAGTAGGTCATATGTGGTGACAGTGGTGTGGTGGAGAGAGACTGGAGAAGGTGGCCATGGACTCGTGGCTGGTCGGGGTTGAGTTTTGAGAGTTCAGTTTGAGAAAGTGACGACGGCTGCTTCGATTTGAGCCTTCAAGAATGAGAGATAGTCTATTTAGGGCTATCTCTGCCACTAAAATCCTAGAGGGGCGAAAAACAAGGATTTGCGCTTCCAAGACTTTAAGTCCGTGAATGAATAGAACTCTGAAGTTTGTCGAATCCGATCACTTCTCCAGTTTTGTAAACTTTGACCGAAGAGGATCTCTTGGAGAAGACTTATTCGACCTTCTCTACTACTAATATTGTCCTGCATCAACATTAATATAGAGCTCAGAAGTTCACTAAGTTCTCGGATTTGATCTCTGTCTTACTTATTGCTGAAAAGCAAAATCTGCTATTGATGAAAAATCATCAAGCTTAACCTTCTGGGGCAACTGCTGTGCATGAAGCACATTATAGCACAAACCAATGCCCAAAATGCCAAAAGAGGATATTAAGTTTGGATTATTTATTGGTGATTTGTTTTGGATATTAAGTTTTAATTAATTACCATCCTTGGATAAATGAAATTAATTTGAATTGATATTTATTTTTTGGAACTTTTATGCATGTGATCGATTCAAATTAATTTTTTTATTCTAGGTATGACTAGTGGGGAAATTAGTTGTCTGGCAGATAGTGCAACCACGCACACCGTTTTGTGTGAACACATCTATTTCACTAACATCACACTTAAGAATGCACCTCTGACAACCCTCTCTGGCCCATCCAACTTGATTGAAGGATACAGTAAAACATGTATAATGTTGTCCAATGGTACAATCTTGACCATTGCTAAGGCACTCTATTCTCCATGTTCCAGAAGAACGTCGTTGAGTTTCCAGGACATTAGAGATAACAATTACCACGCTAAAACCTACATAGAAAACGGAGTTGAATTTATGTGCTTAGCCTTTTACGAATATGGCCAGAAGCATATTCTAGAGAAGATAGAGTATATCCCAAGTGGTCTGTATACTACGACCATACACCCCATAGAATGCCACTATTTGGCTGAAGAGTTAATTTCATATTATATATTTTACCCTATTCTTAATATACTTTGATTAATATTTTAAAAGAATTTTGATACTTTGAATTGTATTTCTAATATAGGACTTTCGACTTCTTCTGGAGAAAAACATGGCCAAATGAATGAATTTTGGAGTAATTCCAATTGGAGGACGTTCATGAGTCACTTAGCTTGATCGTATCAAAATATCAGATTTTTCTATCAAGCGATGATTTTCTGGCAATAAAATAAAGGAGCAATGCGCAGTGCTAGAATAGTGACGTTTTGGGCTTAACTTGCGTTTTTGGAGCCCAAGATGACATCGGATGGGTTCGTAGCCTTCTGGAGATGTGTTTAGAACGTTCCTATCTTTAAAACAAGCTATCTTGGGCCGGATTTGGAGGAGATTTGAGGCTAAAACGTGGCTGAACAGTTTTTGCGCAGTTTTTCCTAGTTTAATTAGGACTTTATTT